TGCTTCATCTTCCGAGCCTTTTTCGAACTTGCTGGCATGGGGGCAGCGCATGGCCAACAAAACAATGAAATAACAACAAATTGAGGTTGGTAACCCGGAGCCGGCACGGCTAAGAACGGACAGGGGGAGAGGGATTGACCCGTAAACTATCATCAACACCATCGTCATCCTCATCATGACGATTCTTCTCGTCAGCCTCCTCGTCGATATCATCATCGACATCAACGTGGCCATCGATATCAACATCAACATCAACATTATCCTAACAACTCCCTCGCATTCCCTCCTCCTCCTCCTCATCCTCTGAACATCTTCGGGCGCAGGGAATTCGCCGACCAAGCCTACGGCCTGGTAAAACATACCCCACTACTCAAGAGAATCCGGGACTGCATCCCTTCGTGGATGGCCCGGGCTGCTCGCGAGCATTTGCTTGAACTGGAACTGAGCCAGGCGTAAACGCATCACAATCATCATCATCATCATCATCATCATCATCATCATCATCATCATCATCATCATCATCATCATCATCATCTGTGCGCGCACCTCACTCCATCTCAACGGTCAATCATGCAACGTCGATATCAGGCACGAGCATAATTAATGCAGCGATCACGTTGCAAGTGCTGGTTCCAGGGGACTCGTTTAAAACCTCCACGGGGGAGGGGGGGGAGAAGGAACGGGTTTGGAAGGTTGTGCTGGGGGCGCCTCCCGCGCCCGCGTCGCGTCCCTCGCGTAGCGCCGGGGCCGGCGTGAGACGCCGCTTCTTGCCGTGCGGCGCCGAGTCCGGCGCGCGGGGCTTGCCCATCAGTGACCCCGTGAACAAGGTCTGCCACGTCTGCACCGCCTTGCACGCGTTAGCCTGGCAGTCCCACGCTGCGAGAACTCGGTAGACCCCCAAGAAGCCCTCGACTTCCGCCAAGACCTCCTTCCACCCCCCCTCCTTCCGCTCCACCACGGGGCGCTGCGACGCCGCGCTAGCCACCGCCAGGAACGCGTCGCCGTTCTTCTGGCCGCCGCCGGGCTCGCCCTCCAGGGCCTTTGCGGCGCCCGCCTCGCTGAGTAGCAGCAGCGCCAGGTACTCGAAAGTGTGCGTGTGCACGAGTCCCTTCTTGAAGAAGGTGTACTCGTTGAGCGCCTCGAGGTGCTCGAGGACGGGGTCGAAGTGCGTCGGCTTCTTCCAGTACGGGTAAAGCACGTGGTCCACTAGAAGGCCCAGCGACCAAATATTCTGCTCGGACGTGTGGGTCTGCCGAGGCTTGCCCTCCCGGAGCCCAGGGAACACAGAGGCGTTGCGTTTCAGCAAGTGGTCGTACAGCTGCGGCAGACAGGCCGGGCCGCTCACATCGACCTCCTGCTCCAGGATGAGGTCGACGAGGGTGTCTGAGCGCACGGCTAGGATCAACAACAGTTTGGCGTTCAGTGCGCGTCGGTCCGCCCTGGCGGCCGCCGCCGGCACTGGGAGCACCCCCTCCGGGTAGCTCGCTCGGGCCCCCTCCACCAAACGGGTCAGCTTCTTGAAAAAGGGGTCCGTTCGGCCTGTTTCCGCACAGGGTGCAGCCGCAGGTGTTCTGTGCACTCGTCAAACGACGCGTTCGCTGTAGTGACCGGCGTCGTGGTCGCGCCAAACTTCCTGACGCGCTCTGCGGCCGACTCCGACAGTGCCAGCGGCGCGTCCTTCTCGGCACGGAGAGCCATGTAGGCACCGAGGTACTGGGCGGTCATTTTCCTGAAGTCCCCTGTGTGCGCTGCCTGTCGCGCCGCCGTCGTCAGTGCGGGCGCATAAAAGGCCGAGGAGGGCAAGCCCGCACTTGCGCGGCTCGTTCAGGGGCGTCCGACCCGTAGCGTCGAGGAGCGCCCGGTAGGCCCGCTGGTCGCGTGAGTCCGTCTTTAACTGTCCGTCCTCCACCCATTGCTCCACCGTGCGGCCCCGATGTTTCCCCATGGGCCCCGGCGGCGGCCGGAGGAGGGAAGGAGGAGAGGAGGGTGGAGGCGGAAGGCGGACGCGTCGGGGGAGGCCCCCGCCCCGCCGACCGCCCCAGCCTCCGGCCGGCAGGGGGCCGCACCTCGCCGAGGGCGTTCCGGAAGTGCCCAGGTCGTCCGGAACGGCCGCCAGAGAGCCGGGCAACGACCCAAAGGCCAGGGGCGACGTTGGGGGCGAGGGGCGAAGGGGGGGGGCGAGAGGGCGGGGGGGGGGGCGAAGGAAGAGTGCGAGGAGGCGCGGCGGCCATCCTCGTCCGGCAGCGCAGGGCGGGCGGGAAGTGGAGGGGGGGGAGGGAAGGGGGGGGGGGGGAGGGGGCGGACGGTAGAGGGGGGGGAGGTGCGGCACTCGGGCGGCCGGCGCGTCCGAGCCCTGAACCAAGATAGCGTCAGGGTTACCGGGGGGAGGGGGGGAAAGAGGGGGAGGAGAGGAGGAGGAGGATGAGGAGGGCAGAGGGGGGGGGGGAAGGAGGGCCCCCACCCCCGCCGACCCCCGGGTCCCCGGCGGCCTGGAGGCCGTGCTGCGGGTCCGGGCGGGGCGGCGGCGGGAGGAAGGAGAGAGGAGGGGGGGCCACCCCCGCCGACCCCCCCTGGGCCCCCGGCCGACCTGGAGGCCGTGCTGCGGGTCCGGGCGGGACGGCGGCGGAGGAGGAGCGAGAGGAGGAGGAGGAGGAGGAGGAGTAGGAGGAGAGGAGGGAGGAGGAGGAGGAGCAGGGAGGGGGAGGAGGAGGAGGACGAGGAGGAGGAAGAGGAGGAGGAGAGAGGAGAGGAGAGAGAGGAGAGGAGAGGAGAGGAGAGGAGAGAGGAGAGGAGAGGAGAGGAGAGGAGAGAGGAGAGAGGAGAGAGAGGAGAGGAGAGAGGAGAGAGAGAAGAGGAGAGAGAGGAGAGGAGGAGAGGAGAGAGGAGAGGAGAGGAGAAGAGAGGAGAGGAGAGGAGAGGGGAGAGAAAGGAGAAAGGAGAAAGGAGAGGAGAGGAGAGAAAAGGAGAGGAGTATAAGCTGTCCAGCCGCCCTGGGACAGTCGCCCCCGACGGCGGAAAACCGCTGGGTCGATCCGGTCCTCTCCTCCGCCGAGCCCCGCTCGCCTTGCCGCCTGGACGTTTCGGGGCCGCCCGCTGCGGCCGCGCCACGTCGCCCCGCTCGTCCTCGCGGACGTAGGAATCCGCCGGCCCGCACCCCTCGAGCGGGGGCCGACCCCAAGGGCGCCCGCTTGCCAGGTTTCTGCCCCCTGCCCCTGGACAGGGGCAGGGCGGAGAATGGGCAGAAAGGGAGGGGGGAGGGGGGGAGAACAAAGAGGGGCAGAGGCGGGAGGGCGGGGAGAAGAGGGAGGGAGGGAGGGAGGGAGGGAGGGAGGGAGGGAGGGAGGAGGAGGAGGAGGAGGAGGAGGAGGAGGAGGAGGAGCGGAGGAGGAGGAGGAGGAGGAGGAGGAGGAGGAGGAGGAGGAGGAGGAGCAGGAGGAGGAGAAGGAGGAGGAGGAGGAGAGGAGGGAGGTCCGTCGAGCGGCCCGGGGGCGCTGCGCAGCGCCCGGCGCGCCGGAGCGGCACGGGCGGCCGCGGGGGGGAGGAGCGGGCGAGGGGGGGGCGAACTCAGACCGTCAGGGCCTCTCCGCTGGCGTGCTGCGGCCCGGTGCCAGGGACACACACACAGATCAATAGACACAAAAATCCCAGGATCCCCCAGCTTGTCAGATTTTTTCTGGGTTTTCGTCCTCCCCCCCCACTTCCCCTATTTTCCCATATCTTTTCCTGGGGATCGACGGTTCATTGTGTCCATGTGTGTGTGTGTGTGTGTGTTTCTCCCCCTCCTGACACATGGCTTGCGGAGCGGTGGATCTGGCGCGTGGGCGCCAGATCCGCGGATCGGGGGGAAGTGCCCCCCGACACATGCAGCCGGTGCCGCCTCATTCGGCGGGTTCCAGACACTCCTGAGGAGGAGGAGGAGGAGGAGGAGGAGGAGGAGGAGGAGGAGGAGGAGGAGGAGGAGGAGGAGGAGGAGGAGGAGGAGGGGCGGGTTCCAGACACTCTTCACCAACACACACATACACACACGCACACCTGTCGTCTCTGTGTGGGGGGGGCAATCCTTGGGTTCCGCCGGCCTTCCGCCCGCAGAGGCGGCCTCGTTTTTTTTTTTTTGCTGCCGCCTTCCGCGGGCTTTCCGCTGGGGAAGAGATGCCAGCTCCTCCTATCCTTGAGGGCAGAGCCTTCTGTGACGCACCAGTTGGCCGCGGGGCACGCCGATCCTGCATCAACCAAGGGCGCGTGCGGGAGGGAGCGTGCGGGGATAGTGGGGTGCGCGTGTGCGAGGGAGAGAGAGAGCGAGAGAGAGAGAGAGAGACAGAGAGAGAAAAACAAAAAAACAAAAAGAGCGTGGGTGGGGGGAGGGGTGCGGTGGATGCATTTGGATTCTGCATGTGGCCAAGGCGCGCCAAAGCCATTCTGGCCCGTCGCTAATCCGCGCGCCTTCACCGTTTGCACGTCCTCGAGAGGGGTGTGGTCCTCCTCGATTCTTCCTCTCCTCCTCCTCCTCCTCCTCCTCCTCCTGGATCCTCCTCCTTCTTCTCGGTCCGCCTCCGCCTCCTCCTCCTCCTCCTCCTCGACCCTCCGTTGTGCTCTTACGTCGCCCGTGGAGCCTGGTCTCTGCTGAGAGTTCGGGAGGGCGCCCCGAGGCCTCGAAGAAGGGCCCCGAGGCGCTCGGTGCTCCAACTCTCACTGAACAGGTCTACGTAGAAAGCATCTATACACCACCACCGTGCCAGGCCAGGGCCATCCTGGGCCCTAGGATGGTGTATACGCCCTCCTGGCCGAGCCAGGAGGGTCTGTACACCATCCTACGGCCCAGGATGGCCCTGGCCTGGCACGGTGGTGGTGTATAGATGCCTTCGTCGGAAGGTCGTCCAAGGAGGCGCCCCCGAGTCCAGCGCTCGAGCCGCCATGAGCGGAGTCGAACCCCTCCCAAGCCGTGCGGTGGGCTCCCTCCTCGGCCCTCCTCCCGGATCCCCGAGGCGCCCCGAGCCCCCGGCAGGTGGGGCGACACGCACTCGCCGAAGGCGCACAAGGACTTCAGCGAGACGGCAGACCAATCGCAGGGGACCTCGTTGGCACCGACACGAAGACGACGAATAGTAATATTGATGATTCGAAGGATGGTCGTAATCGGAGGTGAGGGGGTGAGATCGAAGTGGAACGGAGAGCCCCCCCACCGGGAAATCGATTTCGGTTTCGTGTTCGTGCGTGCCGTGCGTGCGGGCGAGGCGAAGCTGCGTGGGCGGGCGAGAGAAAGTCTCCTGTGGCTGAGTCGCGGCCCGACCGAATGATTCCCTTCCGGGCGGCCGGGGCCTCGCGGTGTCCCGCCGGTGTCCCGCTGGTGTCCCGTGTGGCTGAGGCGCGGCCGGACCAAATGTCTCCCTTCCTGGCGGCCGGGGCCCCGCGGTGTCCCGCCGGTGTCCCGTCGGTGTCCCGAAAATGATGTTGTTGATGATGATCATGATGGTTATGTTGATGGTGATGATGATGATGACGATGATGGTGTCCTGGTGATGATGATGATGTTAATGATGATGAAATGAGGATGATGATGAGGTTTCTGCCCGTTGTTGTTGATGATGATGTTGGTAATGGTGATGCTGCTGATGATGATTATGGTATCCCGATGATGATGATGATGATGATGATGATGATTATGACGGTGGTGATGATAATGGTGATGGTGATGTTGTGCCGATGATGATATTGATGATGATGTTGGTGATGATGATGCTGCTGATGATGATGGTGTCCCGATGATGTTGATGATGCTGTTGATGATGTTGATGATGATAATGAGCTGATGATGATGATGGTGTCCCGATGTTGTTGATGATGTTGACGATGAAAATGATGGTGACCATGATGGTGTCCCGATGATGATGACGGTGATGATGGCGATGGCTGTGTCCCGATGATGATGATGATGATGATGATGATGACTATGATGAGATGATGATGGCGTTGATGATGATGACATGATGATGATGGCGTTGATGATGATGGCGATGATGATGATGTGAAGATGACAGTGTCCCGATGACGATGGAGATGGTGGTGTTGTTGCTGATGATGATGATGATGACGTTGAATGTTATATCGATTGTGATATGGGTAGTGAGATCGATAGTGAGACCGAATATGGGATCGATTGTGAGATCGATAATCAGATCAATTGTGAAACCGAGCGAATGATATATATATATATATATATTATATATATATATATATATATATATATACACAAGACTGCATTGGCGCTGCGCGCCATGCACCTTGGTCCTGCGAGTTCCGCACGCAAGCGGAATGCGTGCGTGCGTACATGCGCGCATGTATGTATACACGCGCACGCGCATGCACGTTCCGTATATATTTTTTATTTATATATATATATGTATATATATATATATATATGTATATATATGTGTGTGTAGGTGTGTACAATATACTTACATTGTTGTATGTGCATATACAGCGTACATATGTACATATAAATGTATGTGTGTAAGGGTACGAACATGCATGTGCCATTCGTGCATGCGTTGTCGGTGCACGCCCAAATGTGTATATATATGTATGTTATATATATAACTATGGGTTCGCATACACATGCGTATCTCAAGCGGTAGTGGCCTGACCAGTTGCTCAGGGCATCTCGACCTGAAAAGTGCGAGGGTCTCAGGCGAAAATGGCCAGATGACCACGTGACAATGCATCGCCGAGGTCAGTGTGCGAGGATGTCTCAAGCGAAAATGGCCTGAGCACTTCCGCTCAGGACATACCGGAACTCAGAGTTGCGAAGATGTCTCAAGCGAAAACGGCCTGAACACCTCAGCTCAGGACAGACCCAAACTCAGTGACGCGAGGATGTCTCAAGCGAAAGTGGCGGAATACCACGGGGCAGGGCATCTCGGAACCCAGAGCTGCGAGAACGTTTCTAGCGAAAGTGGCCCGAACACCTCAGCTCAAGGAGCCCTGGAACGTAGAGTTGCGAGAAAGTCTCAAAGCGGAAGTGGTTGGACCACTTTGGGGCAGGGCTTCTCCGAGGTCAGAGTTCGGAGGAGGTCTCAGGCCACATGGGTCTGATTTCCTCAGCTCAGGGCACCTCGGAACCGAAAGTTGCGAGGATGGTTCTGGCGAAAGTGACCCGAACACCGCAGCTTAGGACATCCCCGGACGCAGTGTTGCGAGGGTGTCGCATGCGGAAGTGGCCGGACCACCTTGGGGTAGAGCACCTTCGCGGTCAGAGTTGCGAGGATGTCTTAGGCGCAATTGGCCCGAGCACTATGGGGCGGGACATCTCCGAAGTCAGCTTTGCGAGGAAGTCGCAAGCGAAGAGTGGTCTGAACACCTCAGCTCAGGGCATCCCGAAATCTAGAGTTGCGAGAAGTCGCAGGCGAAAGAAGGCGAACCACCATGGTGCAGGGCACCTCCAAAGTCAGACTTGCGAGACTGTCTCAGGAGAAATTGGCCTGAACACCTCAGGCCAGTGCGTCTCGGACTCCAGAGTTGCGAGGATGTCTCAGGCGAAAATGGCGGGACCACTGCGAGGCAAAGCGTTTCCGAGGTGGGAGTTGTGAGCATACCCGGGCGAAGCGGATCTCACGACTCCCTCTTCCTCCTCCTCCTCCTCCTCCTCGTCTTCTGTCTGGGTGATACTCGCCACTCGTCCTCCGCTTTCCCCTTGCGTATATTTCCCTCTTCCTGTTTCTTCATTTTCTTATTCGCGTTCTCCTGGTCCACATCCTCTTCCTCCTCCTCTCCTCCTCATCCTCCTCCTGAGTTGTCCTCATCCTCCTCCTGAGTTGCCGGCCGGGCCGGGCCGAGCAAAGACGGCGGGCTGGCCGAAACGGGGACGACGACGATAACGACGACGATTACGACAACGAACGACGACGACGAAAAGGACGACGACGACGACGACGTGTGGACGGCTGGCGGCCTCCCGTGGCGCCCCTCCCGGCCACGAGGACGACGACGACGACGACAATGACGACGAAGACGACGACGACGACGACGACGACGACGACGACGACGACGACGACGACGACGACGGCAGCGACGGCGATGACGACGACGAATGGGTGTTTTCGGAGCCCTCGTGGGCCGTTTTGGCGCCTTCATGGGCCGTCCTGGGGCCTTCTTGGGCCGTCTTGGGGAGCTTGGGCCCGCTGGAGCCCCCTTTGGACCCATCTTGGGCACTTCCGGGGACCTCCCGTGGCCCTTGTGGGTCTGTGCGTGGAGCCCTTGGGGGGCCTCTTGGGTCCATTATGGGCTGTCTTGGGGCTCTCTTGGGCGCTCATGGGGCCCGGCTCGGCCGTCTTGAAGCTTTCTTGGGGGCCTTTTGGGGCGTCTTGAGGCGATCTCGGGGGCTTTGAAGCCGTCTTGAAAGCTGATGAAATCCGAAAGGCGAAAATGCTAAAATTGTAAGTTTTACGAAGGGAATGAGACGACTCTTGTGTTTTGTGAAGGCCCCTTGGAAAGCTTCTGGGGGTGCCATGGGGGTCTTTGGCGCCGTCAAGAAGCAATTGGAGTCCCTCTTGGAGCGCTCTTGTGCTGTCTGGGGCCTCCCTTGAGCCTTTCTGATGACCCCTCTGATCGCTCTGGGTCTGCTGGCAAGGCGTTTGTGGAGACCCAGAATGCCGGGTGACCTTTTCCAAGGACGTCCAAGGGAGCCCGAGAACCCCAGATCCCGGGGATCCAATTTTTTTTTTTTTTGGGGGGGGGGGACGGTTTTCCCACCCCCCCGGGCTTGTAAAAATATAGGAAGAGGAATATATCGAGTGAGATCGATTGTGAGATCGATCGAGTGAAATCAATCGAGCGAGACCGATAGTGAGATGGATAGTGAGACCGATCGAGTGAGACGCTGCATCCTCCCCCCCGAACCTCCTTATCACCCGAAGGGTGGTCGTATAGGTAATACTAGTTAGTACTACGAATAGTACTAGTCGTACTAAGGATAAGCATACCAACGCTACACGTACTATTATTACTCTTAATGCTATTAATAGCACTGAGAGTGCTACTAACATCAATGCCAGCCATCAAAATCCTAGTACACATGCGAATGCTAACAACAAAATAATCATAAGAAAACATATGTGACGACGAACACAGCTTCCTGGCGAGAGATACAACCATATGCAGCTGTAAGTAGCGCAATTGTGAGAGTCGTTCTCGGTGGAGCTCCGTCGAGCCACGGAACGTGTGAGGGAGTGCAGAATCGGGTGCGGGTACGCCATGCGGACTGTGCCGCTGGGGGCTTCTGTGGAGTTTCCTGCAGTCAGTGGACTACTGTTGGTAGTGAAGTTCGAATGAGCATATCATATCGGGCAGAGTTTGGGTTCAACGTCTTGTTCTCAACCTCATTGCATCCGTAGCCCCAGCCTCGCGCTATCAGAGCACTCCACGGCGTGGGCGGGTTCTGGCTGTGGACCGACGACCGACGACCTGGACGACGACGACCGATGACCGAAGACGACGACCAACCGACCGACGACCGACGACCGGACCGACCGACCGACCGAGACAACGAACAACGGACCGAGACGACGACGACCCACGACGACGACCCACGACGACCGACCGACCGACCGACGACCGACGACGGGATCGAACACCGACCGACCGACCTAGACGACCGATCGACCGAACGACCGAGACGACGATTGACGGACCGACTGACTGACCCAGTTTGGGAGCAAGGTGTGGATACAATGCTAAGACCCCCGCCCCTGGCCCGTCCCCCCCTCACCCGACTTATCTGTACCTTTAGAGCTCTGAGCCGGGTGAGGTTCCAACCCTCAATCTTTACGGCGGAAAGTGTTCCAGCCAACTATGCCGACGCGAAGGGGTGGTTCCCGCTCTCAATTTTTGCGGAAGGAACTGTTCCAGTCGCCCACGGTGTTGGTTCCAGCACTTGATTTCTACCCAGCGCGAGGGTTCTAGCGGCCCCCGGTGTGGGTTCCAGCTCGGCGAGAGCGTTCCAGCCGCCCACAGCGTGGGTTCCAGCCATGCGTTTTTACAAAGCGGGAGCGTTCCAGATGCACACGGCGCGGGTTCCAG